AAAAAAAAAAAAAAAAAAAAAGAACGGTCAATGTATTGCAGTATATGGGATTTGATTCAAAGGACCGTATTAAGCAAAAGTGTTTATTATTTCTGAATATGAATGGATCTCTCATGGAACCATCACAAAACCAACAACACACACAAGAAGTGCAAGAGGGGCCATGTAGGAAGTGAACATGATGCTGCTGTCAGTACCCATCACACCCATTACATTTGTATGATTTAGTGTTTCTCTCATTTTGTCCTCAGTTAACTTTGTACCATTCAAAGCATCGCTGTTTACTGTACCAGAGGAGCGGTCATCTGCACCATTAACAGTGTTGGTGGACTGCACTGTGTTGTCATCGCTGTTGGGATTAGATGTGGATGAAGCAGACTCTTCTCCGTGAGTATTATTTTGGACGTCGGTGGAATCATCCGTTTGTGCGTTTGCTTCGGTTGGTGATTGAACTTCATTTTGTGTTTGGTTTGATGCTTGCTGGTGGTCTTGAACTTTGGATGTTGTATGGTCTTCATTTTGTTTATCGTTGTTTTCTGCTGGTGGATCTGCAATCTGTTGAGATATTCCATGTGCAGGGGCCTTTGAAGAGGCAGTAGCATGGGCAGGGGCAGCCGCAGGGGAAACAGAAGGAGATGGTGAGTTCTGGACGGACTGAACCGCGAGACCACCAACAATGGAATCACTCCCTCGCAATGGCCCCGTAACTTTCTGCTGGTTGCTGCCGTTATCATTTTCACTCCTCAAGATCTCCGAGGAAGGGATTTGGGATTCAACCCGTTGCTGTACTTTTTGATCTTCTTGCTCGGTTTCCTGGTGTTGCTGTTTTACGGGCCGGGCAGTGGGTTTCACGTGTGATTTTTGTTCTTCATTACCAAGAGAACTCGTAGAAACAACCTTATTGGGGGCATCGATTTGTTTCTTTTCCTGTTTTTCTTCTTTCTTGCCGTTCACATCAACGTCGTACACATGAGTAATACTTTTGCCACTGAAAAACCTAATGTTGGTAGGAAGTTCGGCCCCCAGCAACCCAGTGCACACTTCTTCGTATTTGGGACACCGAATAGTTCCACCAATGAACTCTGAATCCTCCAGCTTAATAGTAGCGCTTTCATCGCTGCACTGACGCCAATTCTTCTCTTCATCCTCGTACCCTTTGAGCTGTACACTCACGTTCCTTGTTTTATTATTACATTTCACTTTTGCACAAATGCCTTGAAACATCACTCCATTTCCATTATCTCCCTTCTTGAACTCCAGCGGGTTTTCCAAATTCAGACACCGTGAATCTTGTCCCAGAACGCTGCCAGGCAAAAGATCCTCTTTACCATCCTCACAGCCAGTGCCCTCCAAGGATCTGATGAATTTGTAACCATTCATCAAGTCATTCGCTTCACTGTTTGTATTTTCGTCCTTAACATATTCGTATCCCTCAGGTAATTTATTACGCTCGGTCTTCGAGCAAATACCAAGTGCAAAACGGTCAGAGGTGCACTGTAGGATCACATTCTCCGCATCTTCCTCGCAGAACATATTGGGGTAGTCAGTCTTTGTTGGAACTTTTTTTTTACCTTCAAGCAACTCACATATAGATTGATTTCCCCAACTCATCGTTTCTGCATTGTCGAAATCTGCGCTGTAAAATGGCATAGCATGAAATACTGCAAGTGTCAGTGCAGTGTAGTACATGCCAGAAGGTTCACCAATGTACGTACTCATCAACTCATCCTTCGCAATATACCTCTCCCAGTGAGAAGAATTCTTTTCTATTCCTTGATTTTCCAAATACAAACCCTTCAATTCATTACCTTTTTCACAACCGTAATGTTCGTTCAGCTTTGCGAGAGTTTGGGGGGAGACAACCTTATGGAACTTTCTTCCATCCATTTGTTTTTGCTTCGGTGATGGATCGATGTCGAGGGTCTCTATCATTCCCAGTGTTTGCATAAGATCATGATGAAATCCAAGAGCATGTGCAATCTCGTGTGCAGTCAAACGAATATACTGTCGTGTTGCTTTTATCTCCTCTGGGACGAATTTGATTACGGCAGACGTTGGTCGGTTTTCTTTATCCTTAGTGCAAATCTTAATTTTCTTGTATTCAGTTGAGAGACCCACGTAAATCATAAAATCGACACCAAGAGTTTCATGAACTTTACCCTCCAAGGGAACCTTAAAGAGTTCGCAGCCAATTAGAATATTTATCTCAGTTTCACTTGTGCTACTCCGTTTCATTTCCACCTTAAGACGATCTGTGTGCAACTTGATGGCTTTGGGCAAGACCTCCGTAAAAAGAACTTTTTTCTTTTCCTCCGTCATCTTTTCATCACTCTGGCATCGCTGTTTAAGTTGTTCAAGGTGATCAAGCTCTTCAGACTCATCTTCTTCATCTTCCAAACTTTGTTCAAATTCTTCCCCAGCCGTAACGTACTCATTCAGCACTTCAGGGTTTCTTGTCGTGCAAAACTTCACCATATCTTCCACAAATTTTGTATAGACGCCAATGCGGATGGGTTGCCAGTCACCTTCTTTCTTATCAGGGGTAGCAGCAAGTGCAACAGCAGAGACAGTGTATGCCTGTAGAGCACTTTCTCCTTTCTGTGGTAACTGCTGTACAACAGCAGCCAAACACCCGCAGCTGCAGTACAACAGGAGCAGTGCAGCCCACAGGAGGTGACGCATGGAGTGTTTCTCCATTTTGTAGTGGTGTGAGAAGTGTGTGTTGCTTTGCTAAGGTAGACGCAGAGTAAAGAGAAAAAAGAGAGGAAGAAAAGGAGAGAATAAAAGGTAAGCATAAAGAAATGTTATATTAGATCCAGCATAGAATTAAACACATGTATATACATCAAAAGTAATACTCTCGAAAATAGAAGAATGATAGTTATGCCAAAAGTAGAATGAGAAAAGATAGTAATATACCCTCTCGTGGTACATACATACCAACCGAATCAACAACAATGCATTGTGAGCAGATTTGGTATTTTATGGTGTTTGTAAGAAATGCAGAGAATAATAATAGTCATAATAATGAGTGCTGTACTGCCTTTAAACAAGTGAAAAAGAAAGAAAGAACCCATGGAAAGAGTGAATGATAACATGTGTTCAGATCTGTCCTTTGTATTAGAAAAAGACTGTGTAACTCATGCTGGACTAACCCACCAACTCCACTTGATACACTATTTTTATTATTGCAATTCCAAGTACATTAATGAAGTAGTTGCTTGTAATAAGTATTTGACTTTTCCACGGCTTCCACTTGATAATGGTTTTTTTATTTTTGCTCATCCATGTCAGGAGTAGAATAGCAGTAATCCCATGCACATGGAGTTGTGTACGCCTTCTATTAATACTCTTTTCAGTAGGAATGTTTTTCCTCTCACCACAAGAGAGACATTCATTTCCACTTGTGTTGTAGTTATCAATAAAAGGCGTATTTGAGGGTCCAACGGCAATGTACAGCACCATATATGTGTCTTTAACACCCTCACTGGTGTGAGTAGGTGGAACTGTGAAGTGAGAGCAAAGAGTTTTGCCAAAATCCGGCACCTTGAAGGGAGTTTCCAACTGCTTAACGAGAAGAAGATCGCTGTGTAACTTGATTGCTGCAGGAAGAATCTTATTGAGAAGTGTATTCTTCTTATCCTCACTCAAAACGTCATCCCCACGGCAAGAAAGCGTAGAACCCTTAAAATAACTCTTACGTTCATCGAGATGCCCCCTTGCAGTACTTCTTCTCATCGTCCAGATCCAGTGATGACACGTTGATGCGGAGTGACTCCTACTTATCAGACGATGACACAATGTGTGTCTGATGAGATGCACGATCTCCTGCTCTCGGCAATTCTCTCAACACCACCTTTGCAGGGGGATCCACTCTTACGCATGGCATCATTGAAGATACAACGTTGGTGTTGGGGTTGGGGTTCTGCCGCACGGGATACGATACTGCTGTAAATGAGTAGTAACACTGCAGTGTGGAGAACCAGGCGCATCATGTTGTTTTTTTGTAAAATAGCATTGCTGTGATTAGTCAGATTGAGTCTACAAATGAAACAATATGAGAGAGAGAGAGA